CTTACATTAAGAAACTAAGAGTTTAACAGTGGGAGATAAACACACTCTTAAACACTCAACAAAAATTCATGGAGCACCTACTAATGTGCCAACACTATTATATGCATTGAGAACACAAAAATAAAATACAGCTCCTGTTCTCAAAATGCTGAATCTCAAAACAGATTTGAAAACCAGAAGTAGCATAAACTATCATTCAGAGAGTGCTGGGGATGTGGCTCAAGCGGTAGCACGCTCGCCTGGCATGCGTGCAGCCTGGGTTCGATACTCAGCACCACATACAAACAAAGATGTTGTGTCCGCCGAAAACTAAAAAAATAAATATTAAAAAAAATTCTCTCTTCTCTCTCTCTCTCTCTCTCTCTCTCTCTCTCTCTCTCTCTCTCTCTCGTTCTCATTAAAAAACAAAGAGAGAGTGTTTAATTGCTTCGTTAAGTGAAGTAAGGGAGGCATGTTCAAGATGTGGCATAAAGAAGGAGTATCATCTCCCCTTAATAGGGAAAACAAAACAGACATAAGTGCCTGAGCTGAATCTGGAAGGATGAGAAAATTAGTGGAGGGAAGAACAGGAAGAAGCTTTGAGGCAAAGAAGCATTGAGGCAAAAAGAGGAATAGCATCTATAAAGTCTTAGAGGTTTAAAACAGCCCAGGTGTTTAATTCACAGTGTCTAGCTTGTAGGGCATATCTGGAAACAGGAAAAGAATGTAGGATTGATGGGAAAAATAGCCAAATCATACAGGACCTTTTATGGTATTAGGATTTGTAGTATCTTATGGGTTTAAGGAATGATTAGATTATGTTTTAGAAGAAATGATTAAGCCATGGTGAGACAAACCTAGACTCGAGCAGTCCCATTGGAAAACTGCCCACCTAAACCAGTGCAGATCTGGGACTAGAGAAAAAGATGAGATCGCCTAAAACAATAGGAATGGATAGGATGAAAAGATTCTAGAAATGTTTTGGATGCTAAATTAGAAAACAAAATACCTCAGTGACTAATTAGATATGGGTTTGGAGAGGTGGAGAGTATAAAATAACTTTTAAAAAATTAAAAAAAAATTTTTTTTTTTAGTTGTTGGTAGACCTTTATTTATTTATATGTGGTGCTGAGAATCTAACCTAGTGCCTCAGACGTGCCAGGCAATTGCACCACCACTGAGCCCCAGCTCCCGCCCAACCTTAAAATTTCTAACATACAAATATAATAACTGGAAAGAGAAGATAATGATAATAAAAATTATGAATTTAATTTTTAAGATTTTGCATTTATTTTTATTGGTGCATAATAATTATATAATTTCAATTTTATTTTTATTTTTTAGGGGAATATCAGGGATTGAACTCAGGGGCACTTGACCACTGAGCCACATCCCAGCCCTATTTTGCATATTATTTAGAGACAGGATCTCACTGAGTTGCTTAGCATCTTGCTTTTGCTGAGGCTGACTTTGAACTTGTGATCCTCCTGCCTCAGCCTCCGGAGCAGCTGGGACTACAGATGTACACCACCACGCCCAGCATAATTTAATTTTTAGAATCTTAGATTATGTCAACAAATTTAGGAAACTTTAAACTGATTTCCTGTTTGTGATTTATTTATTAAATTACTTCCAAACTTTGACTAACAGGCATCTACTTTTATAAAAACACTTTCATTATTCTGGCTCTCATTTATTTTTTTCTCACTTTGTCAAGTTGGCCAATGGTTGCTTATTCATTTTGTGTTTTACTAATCCGAAACCTAAGAGAATTTTTAAAACATTAGTCTAGAGGAAAGTAAAAAGCAACTGAAATTTCTTCATGTAGAACTAGTAATGTTGTTTCTATATACTTCCTATGTTTTCTATGCAGAAACACATATAAATAAATATTTTCTATAATTATCCTATTTGCTTTTTTTCTGTCCTACTTTTGTCTCTGGCCTTATGTTTGTAGACATTTTTCCATAATAAATATAAATCTCTATCATAATTTTTAATTGATATGTAATATTCCACTGTATACTGTCATCAGTTTTCTATTATTAGTCATTTAGATTGTTTTTCTTTTTTTTTTTTTTTTAATTTTTTCTGAACAGACCTGCCATGGATATTTTTATATTCACATATTCATAAATTAGTCATTTCTGATGATTCTCAGGATAAATTTACATTCATACAACTCCTCAGTTAAAGATATACATGTTTTCAAATATCGATACATACTTTCAAATTAGTTATTTCAATTTATTATTCCCATTTCAAACGATTGGATATAGATTCCATTTCTCTTTCCTAGGACTGTGACTTTCTTTTCTAAAATGGAGATAATAAATATTTATTTTTAAGGTTGTTATAAATAATTAAGAGAATTAATGTAAATAGTTAACCTAATGTTTAGCACATAGTAAGTCCACAGTTACTGTCAGCTATTACTTTTAATAACCTGTGGAACTGCATTTCCCCAAAGCTTTGTAAATATTGGGCAATATCAGTCTGTTCAGTTTTACTAATATGTGGAGAAAATGTTACACCATTATACTTCAAAACTTTTGGACGAACATCTTTTCTTAGGCTCATTAGAGTTTTGTGTTTCTTTTTTTAATTGTTTTCAGGTTTTTATGGATACTTGTAAAATTTGCTCTTTTTCTTCGTTTTAAGAATTTTTTATATCTTAGGAATATTGACTGTCCTCATTTGCAAAATATTTTCTCTGTTTTGTCATTTTTAATTGAATTTGGTACTTTTTTGACCTTTTAGATTTACAACAATAAATTTTTAGATAGCTAATTCACTATTTATTTACTTTATGTTTGGGGGCTTTTCTACCCTAATATTGTCAAAATATTTTTGTGTGTACTGTGTATATGTTGTTTTTTGTTTGTTGGTTGGTTTGGTACTGGGGATTGAACCCAGGAGTGCTTAGCCACTTAGTCACATTCTCAAACACCCCCCCCCCTTTTTTTTTTTAAATTTTATTCTTTTAAGACAGGGTCTCATTAAGTTGCTTAGGGCCTTGCTAAGTTGCTGAGACTGGCTTTGAATTTTGATCTTCCTGCCTCAGACTCCCAAGTTGCTGGGATTATAGGCATGTATCATCATGCCCAGCACTTTTTTCTTTTTTTAAGTTATATTTTTCACAATGAAATTTTTAATCCTTCTGCATTTTGATGGTGGTTAGTAGGGGGAGGTGGGGACTGGGTCTTGCTATGTTGCCCAGGCTGGCCTAGAACTCTGGGGCACAAGTAATAGTCCTACCTCAGCCTCCCAAGTAGCTGGGACTACAGTCATGTGCCACTGTGCCTGGCTCCTCTAGAATTTTCTTATAAGTTGAGATGCAGTTTTGTTTCCATATAGTTAGATATGACACCATTCCTTTCTTTGGCTGATTTGAAATGCCTCTTACATACTAAATTTCCATATATACCCACTCTATTTCAAACTTATTTGCTTCAGATTGTTTTATTACTTTCAATTTGTTGACAGCAAATTTTCCTTCATTACTCTTGTTTTTAATTCTCTTCCTGGCTTATGTTGCATAGTTATTCTCCTAGGAAAGTTAGGAATCATTTTTACAGTACCACCCCAAAATTACATTGAGATTTTGATTGAGATTTTCAGATTTCAAACAATTAGTAAATCTTGAACACATGTTAAAAATCTTATGATCACAACTATTATTTCAGTTGAACCTATTTGTTACTCATTAAGAACACACATAAAATTTTACATGATGCTTAGTTTTCTATAAATGTTTTTACAGCATTCATTGTTTCAAGAGCCAAAAGTTTTCACCCTTAAAACTTAAAGGTGTGCTATTTTGTCAGTAATAGAAGTATGTGTCCTTACCTGTTTTAAAACTCAGATTACTGAATTACACTTTCAGAAGTGGTTTTCATTGGATTTATATAAGATTGTCCATATTTTATTTAATTAATATGTAAAGTAGGTCTAATTTTTTTTTCTTACTGGGAATTGAACCCAGGCATGCCCTACTACTGAGCTAGATCCCCAGCTTTTTTTTATTTTGAGGCAAGGTCTTGCTAATCCTCCTGCCTCCACCTCCCAAGCACTTGGCTAAAATTCTTTGATTATGCTAAATATGATAACTGTTTAGTTGCACCAATTTCAGTTCCCTGTTAGTGTATATTTGTTTCAGTGGTGTTCCTTTACTTGCTCAGAAACATTTAAGTAGAGAAAAAAATAAACAAGAACCAGAACTGTTAAGGTCTTTTTATGAAGGCAGATGACTCTTGGTCAAAGTTTAGAAATCATTTAATCCATGTATCACAAATAAGAAATGAGTTCTTCAGGTTTCCTAAATTTCTTGGCATGATTTAATATTTTTAAAATGTAACCAAATCAAGTGGCTTTGTTTTAGTAAAACCAAATATCCATTTAGGCTTTAAATCATTTGCTAAACTTTTCAATAACCTTATATTGGGTTGTGACAACCTTCTTACTTTTACTTCTGTTATTCAACTGTTTGATGTAAATGTTACCCATTTACAAAGGAAACCAAGGATCTGAGAAGTTAATATGTAGAAAAAAGGAAAGAAATTAATATTTTGAGTACCAAATGATCCAAGCACTGCATTTGGTGTTTTCCTGAGATATCTTATTTTGAATAAGTAGATAATTGCCTGACAGCAAATTTGATCAAGTCTTTGGTACACTTCTTAATCATATGTCTCAATATTACTAATTCTTCCTGTTTGATTTTTCCTTGCTTTCTTTGTTCAACTGTGATTGTTTAGCCACTTTTTTATATTTTGTTTTTTATCATTGATAATTACTTTTTTTCTTTTTTATTTGACACAGGGCCTCACTAAGTTGCTTAGGGCCATGCTAATTTGATGAGGCTGGCTTTGAACTTGCAATTTTCCTGCCTAAGGCTCCCAAGTTGCTGGGATCATAGGTGTACACCACTGCACCCTGCTGATAATCACTTTTCCCAAATGCCAACATATCTGTGGTTGATTCTAATTAATGAGTATAATAAGTATATTTCTTTTTTTTAGATTCCTGAATTTGATAACTTGTACCTGGATATGAATGGAATTATTCATCAGTGCTCCCATCCTAATGATGATGATGTTCACTTCAGAATTTCAGATGATAAAATCTTTACTGACATTTTTCACTACTTGGAAGTGTTGTTTCGCATTATTAAACCTAGGAAAGTGTTCTTCATGGCTGTTGATGGTGTGGCTCCTCGAGCAAAAATGAACCAGCAGCGTGGGAGGCGTTTTAGGTAAAATGTTCAAAAATAATTGACGTAAAACAACATATCTTCTAATCATGTTTATTTTTGCTTAAATTCCCCCACAAATGGACTATCTCATGATAATGAGCTAGAAATTCAAATGAGGTATCATTTCACAAAGTGTATGTTGGATTTTATATAGTTGCTCAGTTGTTCTCCATCACAAGGTTTTCAAACTTCTTTTTGATAATTTGAAAATAATAGTTGTAAAACAAAGTTGTTATACTGGTTTACTCTGAGTTGTTAACTAGAGTGAACCGAGAGACTGTTGTCATAAGAACATTATTGACATTTAAAGTAACATTTATTAAATAACCAGACCCTGAGATAACTGCTGACTTTGAATGAGTATGGAACTTAATGGAGCAGAAAGACAAGTGAGATCAGAAGGTGATGATGGACTGTGGGAAGAGAGTTGAATTAGAATACTTAGGATATTATCAGCACCACTGTATAGAAGTAAAGGATGAGAAGAGATTAAAAACATAAAGAGGATCTTAAAGGCAAATTCCTGGACATGTAAAATATTTCTAAGTAACAATGAGATCAAGCTATGTCCCTGTTTATGAATAACAGAAGTAAAAGTAAGAAGGTTGTCACAACCCAAGGCGAGGAACCCTGAATCAAGAGACTTGGATGGATCACTAGCATAATGAATCCTTTAATCATAATGACAGCTTAAAGAGTGGAAAGAGCACCTGTGCATCAGATGTGGAAGTCATCAAAGAAGGTGGGAGAGTGCCCTGGATAAGGCTTCCAGTAAGAATAAAAGAATGACAAAAAATACGGATTTAATATCAAAAGTAAAAAGATACTTGGAAGTCTTAGAAAGACTGTGAGATCCTTGAAGGAAAGATCCTTCTAATACCAAAATTGAGATTCTCAAGTACCACTCAAGACTTATTAATCTGACTCTAGGAGTTGGGAAACTCCTGGAAACCATTTTAACTAGACTCCCCTGGTATTTATTAAACTAGTTTTTGTGAGCCACTAGCCTAGAAAATCTGATATTAAGGAAGGATTATATAAACCCATTGCATTGGTCGGGGTTCACTTGAAGATAATAGGAAACATTCAGACTAACTTAAGCAGAAAGGTACATGAATGGGTATCTCCAGAAACTTATTCCCTTTGATGTGATCCAGAGATTAAGCTACCACCAAAACTATTAGCTCCAAGGATATATCACTGTCATTATAATTTAGCAATCAGGAGGCCACCACAGCATTTATTAGCTCCACAACCCCGGTGCTTTTATTGAAAACACAGATGCGCTACTCCTTCCGTCTCATCACCACAAACCTATTCAGTACTGGAATCTCCTCTACCATTGCTGAAATGCACACATCCCCTATGGCCACTGTGCCTCAACTGTTGGTAGGTATCACTGCACTTCCAAACCTTTTATGGAGGCATCTCATTGTCAAAAATCAAGTCATATCCAAAAACCTAACTGCAGGGAAGCTTGAGTTTTATTTATTTATTTAAGCTTTGCAACCACTCTAATATTAGAAGGAGGAGAATAGAATGGAGGCTAAGGGCCAATCCACTATAACCACCATAACCTTTCCTAAATACTCTGCTGGTATTAAGTATTTCATGTTTCCCAGAAATCCCCAATCAACTGTCATTCCTTCAGTGATTGTTTTCTCCATTCATAATGTATAATTCTACATGTGTTATTCCTAAATCTTTTCTTCTGACTTTTATTCCCCTAAAATTTCATTATAAGATCACATGATTATGGCCAGACACAAAGAATAATTCTTTCTTTATTTGTCCATAGCACTTAACAGTGCTGATCATTCTTTTTGAACTTCTCTCATTCCTTGGCCTTCTTAAAACCATATTATTTCTTTGTCTATACATTCGTAGTCTCTTTTCCTTCCTGATTTTCTTTTTTTAAAAAATATATCTTTTTAAAATGGAGATGGACACAATACCTTTCTTTTTCTTTCTTTCTTTATGTGGTGCTGAGAATTGGACCCAATGCCTCACATGTGCTAGGCAAGCATTTTATCACTGACCCACAACCCCAGCCATGATTTTCGTAAATTGTTAATATTTCTAACGGTTCTCTCCTGGGCCCTGAGTGATCCACTTGTGGCTTTAATTACTCTGTCTATCCTAATGACTCCCAAATTTATCTTTCTGGTGGTTCTCTCCCAAGTTCCTTTTTATCCAAATGCTTGCTACCCTTGAGGCTTAACATGTTCAACACTGAACTCACCTTTCTCTCAAAACTGCCCTCCTTTTGTTTCCTGTTTCAGTGAATGTCAGTACCATGTACTTGGCTGCCTAATAGTCTTACCTTGTCCTTATCCCAAATATTTTCCATATTGCATTCAAATTAAACATATGGCTATGTAATTTTCTGTCTCCCCATTAGAGTATAATATCTGAGACCTGGAGTCATTTCTCTTTTGTTATATCCCAAGACTTTGCCACATAGTTGCATTGAATAGTCATTTGTTCATTTAAAGTAGAAGAGGAGAAAAGAGGAAAGAATACACTGCAGAGGTTACAAATGAGTTAGTGTTATTTGAGTTTTTGTTATATTGAGGTTGGCAAGAGAGAGATTAAATAGGAGGAAGAATTTGTTCATGAAAACAGAATTCAGAGCATAGTAGATAGAATTAGTAGCAATTCTGTAGAAAGTATGCCCGAGGCAGAGCTTCTTAACTTGTATGCCATGTGGCATTCTGATGTGCTGCAAAAAGGTTAGAGGGGAAACCAGATAGGAATTGGGGCATCTGTGTTCAAATCCAGTTCTGACTCCAAAGCTCATTTTGTTTCTAGCAAATTGTGTTACCTTAAAAAATGAGATAACTTTGGCAACTGATGTCATTAATACTCTTAGACTTTCTTTTTATTTATTTATTTATTTTAGTTGTCGATGGATCTTTATTTATTTATATGTGGTGCTGAGACTTGAACCCAGTACTTCACACATGCTAGGCAAGCGATCTACCACTGAGCCATAACCCCAGCCCCTAGACTTTTATTTTAAATATTTTTAGGAAGAAATACAAAGATATGTGAGAATTTTTTTATAATTGCTTATGTAATATTCTCAGAGATCATTGATGACATTTAAGATCATAAAATGATTAAGATCATTAAATGATATTCTTAAATGTGTATATAAGGAATGTTTAAAGCTGTGCAGTGCTTTAAGTCATTTCTAGAATGAATTTGCAGTATATTTGTGATAAAAATTACTTCATAAGTATTTTTAAATTTCTGTCTGTTTTGCTGGTTTAGTATCCAACTTCTGTAGTCTTTATGTGAAAAACTCAATTCTTTACATTAAAAGAATTGAGGCTCATATTTATCAGTTATAACTATTTCAAAACTTGTATTTTTTGAACCTTAAAATTGATGAATTTGTATTTTGATTTTTAAAAGCACCTAAATAACAATTTGTATAAAGATCTTTACTTCTTTTCAGCAAGTTTAAGATGCTCTTTTCCCTTAACCTTTAAGGTCAGCCAAGGAGGCAGAAGACAAAATAAAAAAGGCAATAGAAAAGGGAGAAACTCTTCCTACAGAGGCCAGGTTTGATTCCAACTGTATTACACCAGGTAAATTCACTGAGAGAAAAATTCTGAATGAATTAAAATGTAAATAGAAAATTTATTTTTTCGAGTGTATTTTTATTTTCCAGACTTATTTTGGTCTTAAGGTTCCATTTGCTATATTTTCCCACTTGTGTCTATTCATGAGATGATTTGGTCATAAGTGCTCCTATAGAGACCCTCTCTAGGAATTTTCAGATGTTAAAAAAAGCGGATATGGGCAGGACTTCCACATGTAAACAGAATTCTAAATCTAGAAGAAACATAAAATCCTTCAGTCCTGATTCTGCCATTTATTGGTATTAAATCGTCAGTGAAGTTGTAACTTATCAAGTTCATGTTGCTGCCTTATGATTCCAGGATGAGACACTCATTTTCCTAATCCAGAGAGTTTACTACTCTACCTCTCAAAAGCAAATAAGATTTCTGTGACTTTAAGGAAAATAAATCTATCAGTAATATGTTTAACTTAATTTTACATTCAGTAGCATACTTATATTCTTAGGAGCTTTGTGTTTGAACATAAATCTTAAAAAATCTAACTTCCTTATGAATAGTAATTTTCTCTTTGGTTAAATGTGTCAGATGCACATTACTAGTTTTATCCTGATTATAGTGTACAACTATATTGCCTTTGAGTATCGATCAACTGGGCTTTTCCTAAACTATAATCATTGTAGACTAATTTTCCAGATTAATGATTTTTCAGATTAATAATAGTGATAATATTTTGTTACTATTATTTTTGGCAATATAGTTGAAACTGCATGCCTTACAAAAATACTTCAGAATTTAACAAAAGAAGTAGAAAGTTGAAGTTCATTAGCGTGCAAACTCTGCATTTGTGTAAAAATACACAAAGCGTATTCCTTAGTAGTTAAAATTTCTTGACTTCCCCTTTGTGACATTGAAGTCATTTTGGTGACTAGCAAGATGTGAAGCAGCTGTGATTATTTGCGAGAGAATGATACAACATTTTGTTCTTTCAGGATAAAGAAGGAGGCTTTTAACCTTCAAAGATCCTGTACCTAGCTATTTCCTGGACATCCAAATCTAATTATATGTTGTCACTGGGAATTCACTGTTTTCATGTCTTTCTCAGATTAATCTTTTTAAACTTTTTATTTATAGGGACAGAATTCATGGCTAGGTTACATGAACATCTGAAATATTTTGTAAATATGAAAATTTCCACAGACAAGTCATGGCAAGGAGTTACCATCTACTTCTCAGGCCATGAGGTTACCATCTTTTTTTATTTAAAATAAATTTTTAAAGTTTATGTAATATTCTCAACCATAACATATTACCACACTTTTTAAAAACATTGTATTTAGACACCCGGAGAAGGAGAGCATAAAATCATGGAATTTATCAGATCCGAGAAAGCAAAACCAGATCATGATCCAAACACCAGACACTGTCTTTATGGTTTAGATGCTGACTTGGTAGGTATAATATTTTATTGTTATTATAAGATTATGTCATTGTAGGTAAATATCTAAGAGACTCAGTTTTATATAGGAATCTTATTGGCTTTGTTAATAAATACAAAAAACAATGATTCCTACTTTTGCCTTTACCAAAGTTCTAAAACAGTTGGAAAATTATTTATTTATTTATTTTTGATGGGGGGAAGGAACATATTATGTTCTCTATAGTTAGTCTACAGACCTACTGACCCTAGTAGTATAAATAGTGAAGTTATAGAAAGGGGAACCTCTCATGGAACCTCTTCAAGGTTCTGTGACTTTTAATACCTCCTGATGTGGCAAATTTTATGCCCCAGATACTTTCTTTTTTTTAGTTGTAGATGAACACAATACCTTTTTTAAAGATTTTTTTATTTTTATGTGGTACTGAAGATCAAACCCAGTGCCTCACATGTGCTAGGTAAGTGCTCTACCACTAAGCTACAACCCCAGCCCTCTACCCCCAATACTTTTACTAGCCTTTTTTTGTTTAACTTTTTATTATGGAAGTTTTAAAATTAAACAAAAATAGCCAAAGTAGCATAATGAACTTCCTCGTGTCCTTCATCTACCTTTAATATTAATTTTTAACTCCTATCCTTAACCATCTCATCTGTCTGCTCTTTCTCCTACCATTCTGGATTATTGAAGCAAATCCCAGATATTTATATCATTTAATCTATACATATTTTCATAATGGTTCTCTAAAAGGGAAGGTTGGTTTTTTTAAAAGTACTTAACTGCATTGCCATTATCCCACATAAAACAAAAAATAACATCATTGTTTAATATATAAATAACCAATTAGTATTCTTATCTCCTTAATTGCATAATGTTTCTTTTGTGTTATTGTTTGAATCAGTATTGAAATAAATAATATACATTGCAATTGCTTGATATATCTCACTAGCTTTTTACTTACTTTGGAAACTGTAATACTGTAAAATAAAATTAGTTGAAGGTGCCCTTTTCCATTTTTTCTGTATTTTTTACATGCTAGAAATATCTTGACCTCCAAAAGAGCCCTACGTTTTATCATTAAAAAGCTGCTGCCTCTAAATTCTAACCCATTTTCTCATGGCAAGTAGAAATGTGTGAAAACCAAGAGAAGGTTGTAGGGAAAAGGAGTGAGAAAGGACAGAGTGGCAGTTATAAAGGTCATAGGACTCTTAAGGGGAAAATGTTTTTCCTGGAAAAATACATTTACTTTGTTGAGCACAGTGGTACAGTGGTACAGGCATGTAATCCCAGCTGCTTTGGAGGCTGAAGCAGGAGGATCTCAAATTCAAAGCCAGACTGAGCAATTTCACGGGACCCCCCCCCCCCCCAAAAAAAAAAAAAAAAAAAATTTAAAGGGTTGCAAATGTAGCTAAGTGGTAGAACACTTGTCTAGCATGTGTGAGGTCTTGGGTTCCATCCCCTAGTACCACCAGAAAAAAAGAAAAGTACACTTAAACTATCCTGTTCATATTCTACAACTTGATCACACTTTGATATTTGTGTGTTAATATGGTAATTGTTTATTTATTCTCTATATAGAAATGTTTTCATTTAATTGCCTTTGTGAATCTAATACTAGAAAAAATGGGAGAAGAGAAACATTTCATAATCATTTTTCCACAGATCATGCTTGGATTAACAAGTCACGAGGCACATTTTTCTCTTTTAAGAGAAGAAGTTCGATTTGGTGGCAAAAAAACACAAAGGTAAATCACATAGCATTCATGTTGTAAGAAAGAACAGAAATTTAGCTTGGATTATAATCCCTTAACAGGTATGTAATCTGTTTTGTTCATAGTGTCCTTTGATACACCAAAGTTTTTAATTACGATATAATCCAATTTATCTTTTCTTTTTGTTGCCTGAGCTTTTAGTGTAACATCAAGAAATCATCACCAAATTCAATGTTATAAAGATTATTTCCTATGTTTTATTCTAAGAGTTTTATAGGTTTGTTGTTGCTGTTGTTTGGATTTTGCGTAGCACTGGGTTTTGAACCCCAGGGCCTTGCATAAGCTAGGCAAGAGCTATACTACTGATTTACATCCTAAGCCCTGGGTTTTATAGTTTTAACTTTTACATTTAGGACTTTAGTACATTTGAGTTAATTTTTGTATGTGACAAAAGTAAAGGCCCAACTCCATTCTTTTTCATGTGGCTCTCCAATTTTCTTAGCAATATTTGTTGGAAAGACTGTCCTTCTCTGTTGAATCTCTTGGACCCTAATTGAAAGTCATTTTACCATGGTAAACAAGGACTTATTTCTTGGGCTTTCCATTATACTACATTGGTCTATATATCTTTATGCCAGTACCCATGTTTTGATTAATGTAATTTTGTAGTGGAAATCAGTAAGAGTACAACCTCCAACTTTATTCTTTTCAAGAGTGTTTTATCCATCTACTCAGGGTTTCCTGAAATTCCATATGATTTTTAGGATAGATTTTTCTGGTTTTGTGAGAAACATCTTTGTGATTCTGATAGGGATAGCATTGAGTCTGTAGATCTCTTTGAGCATCTTGGTATTAAGCCATGAACCTAAGATGTCTTTCCATTCACTTGTCTCTCCTTTAATTTCTTTCAACATTTTGTAGTTTTCAGTGTACAAGTCTTAACTCTTTGGTTATGTTTACTCTTAAGTATTTATTCTTTGGAATATTTTTATAAATGGAATAATTTTCTTAATTTCCTTTTCAGATTGTTCATTGATGGTATATGGAAATATAGCTGATATTTGGGTACTGATCTCATACCCTCCATACATGCTAAATTAGTTCTTTAGCCCTACTAGATTTTGTATGTATGTCTGTGTGTGTATTCTATGGAATTTTCTATGTGGAGAATTATTCCATCAGTAAATAGATTTAGTTTTAGTTCATTCTTTTCAATTTCAATTCCCTTTATTTCTTTTTCCTGCCTAATTGCTCTGGCTAGGACTTCCAGAAAAGTGTTGAGTAGTAGTTTGAATAGCTGTGGTAAGGTAGCCATCCTTTTCTTGTTCCTGATCTTAAGAGGAAATCTTTCACTCTTTCACCGTAGAGTAAAAAATTAACTGTGAGTTTTCATAAATGCCCTTTATCATACTAAGGAAAGTCTTTTCATATCTTAGTTTGCTGAATACTTTTTAATACCTTTATTTTATTTACTTATTTTTATATGGTGCTGAGGATCGAACCCAGCACCTTGCACGTGCTAGGCGAGAGCTCTGTTACTGAGCCACAATCCCAGCCCCTTGCTGAATATTTTTATTGTGGAAGAGTATTGAATACTGTCAGATGCTTTTCTGAAAAATGATGAGGATTTTTTTCCCCTTCATTCTATTTTTTTAAATATTTATTTTTTAGTTGTAGTTGGACACAGTGCCTTTATTTCACTTATTTATTTTTATGTGGTGCTGAGGATCAAACCCAGGGCCTCGCACGTGCTAGGCGAGAGCTCTACCACTGAGCCACAACCCCAGCCCTCCCTTAATTCTATTAAAGTGATGTATTAAACTAATTTTCTCATGTTGAACTATACTTGAATTCTTGGGATAAATCTTGCTTATGAATGAATGGCATATGAGCTATTTAATTTGCTATCATTTCTTTATAGTCTTACTTATAGTTAAATACAGTTTATAGGCTGATAACCAGGAATATAGAACCCTTTACCAATTCAGATAAGAGAAAGAAAGAAAGATATTGCCTCACCTTGTGCCTTGGACTACACTAAAAGAGATGTAAAAATATGTATTCATATGCTTTCTCTTAATGGCTAACCTTAAATGAGCCAGGTCACTGGTTTCTTAGTTTTATTATATATTACTTGAGACTTCTGAATGCTGAGATTCCTTCTACAAAAGGCATAATATAAGCCAATTATTTTTAACTTTACCATGTTACATTATTTTTACTTTTACATAAATTATATGCTTTAATTACAAGACTTAACTGTCTTCTAATGGTAATTATGATTTAAGGTTTGCTACATTTTTCAACTTAGAGCTTAAAATGTAATTTACTCTGTTTTGATCCTCTGATTGATTACAGGGTGTGTGCACCAGAAGAAACCACATTTCACCTTTTACACTTGTCTTTAATGAGAGAATATATTGACTATGAGTTTTCAGTGTTAAAAGTAAGTATTAACATAGCCATGGGCCAAGGTTTTGTATGCAGAAATCTGTACAGGGTTTCACTTTGTTTTCCATTTTACCTTAGGCAAAGATCACATTTAAATATGATATTGAAAGAATTATAGATGATTGGATTTTGATGGGATTTCTGGTTGGCAATGATTTTATCCCTCATCTACCTCATTTACATATTAATCATGATGCACTGCCTCTTCTTTATGGAACATATATTACCATCCTTCCAGAACTTGGGGGTAAGAAAATTTAATATTCATTTGAGGCTACTTTAATTTAGCAGTGTCTTACCCTAAAAATGTCACTCATTCATTAAATAATTGCATGCCCAACTAAACTAAAGCCTAAGGTTACAAGCAATGAGGTTGTCATTTTCAATGATTCCCAAGGAAAGAAAGTGATCAGAGTTATTGATACCTCACAATAACTCTAATATAAAAATTTCCTAAGAAAATATAATTTAAATTTTTCGATTTTAATTTAATTTTAGTTTCCTGAGAAAGCCAAGGGAACTTGTTGGTTTCGCTTAACTCCTTTAGTATTTAAATGTAGAATTCAGTTTTTTTTTTTGAGGCAGGTATTGGGGATTGAACTCAGGGGCAACTCAACCACTGAGCCACATCCCCAGCCCTGTTTTGTATTTTATTTAGAGACAGGGTCTCACTGAGTTGCTTTGAACCCGCGATCCTCCTCCTGTCTCAGCCTCCCAAGCCACTGGAATTACAGACATGCACCACTGCACCTAGCTGAAATTCAGTTTTTCTAAATAGATATGCATCAGAGTATTTAATATGAAGGAAATATTTTTTCAGTTAAAGTGAAATATGGAGACAATAGTGATGCTGAATAAAACATACAACAGAGTAACACAACATTAGTTTTTTCCCCAAGCTGACATATCAAATTGAAATGATCTGGATAGATTCTAGAACAGTTTAATTGTTGCCAGGTGTGGTTGGAAATATAGAAGGATGATTATCATGTGAACCTGTTTTTTTTTTGCTTCTAAACAAACATATTGTATATTATAGGAATATAAAGCTCAAAGAAACTAGGGCTGCTTTATATATAGCCCAACAGTGTTTTTTCCTGATTAGTAGAATATTGACATTTAACAGCTTGTGGAAAGAATTTTGTAGAATTGTTGGAAAAACGTGTCAGTTTTTAGTACAAATTTGGATTTTTTTCTTTTTAGGTTATATTAATGAAAGTGGACATCTCAACTTACCTCGATTTGAGAAATACCTTGTGAAACTATCAGATGTAAGTAACTATACATTTTTGTTTTCCTGTCCCAGTGTAGCTATAAATGGTTAGTAACTGTTTTAGTCAGCCTTTTGGCCGATGTGACTAAAAGACCTGACCAGAACAATATAGACTCAGGAAAAGTTTATATGGGGGCTCACAGTTTTAGAGGTCTCAACCCATAGGCAGCATGCACCATTCCTTGGGGCTCGAGGTGAAGCTGAACATCATGGCAGAAGAATGTGGTAGAGGGAAGCAGCTCATATGATGATCAGACAGCAAGAGAGACTTCATCCACCAGATACAAAATATGTACCCCAAAGACACGCTCCTAATGCCCCACCTTCTCCAGCTACACCCTACCTATCTTCAACCACCACTCAGTTAATCCCATCAGGAAATTGATTCACTGATTGGGTTAAGGCTGTCATAACCCAGTCATTTCTCTAAATCTTGCATTATCTCACACAGGAGCTTTTGGGATACATCTCATGTCCAAAACATAACAGTAACCAACTAAACAATAGCAGGAAAAAAAACTTTTATACTTATCTCCCAGGTGCTAATTACACTTTCACCTAAATTCTGTTCCTTCCCCTCATATTTTTTATTGGTGCATTTTAACTGTACATACTGATGGGATTTATTGTTATATATTTATAATAACAAATATATTTTAATATAACAGTATAATTTGGCCATTATCACATCCTAGCATTTTTTTTCCCTCGCTCTCCCCACTTTCTACCCCTTGATTTCTTTTCTCTACTAATCTCCTTTTCATTTTTATGAGATTCAACTCCATCTTTGTTTTCCTTTTCCTCTTTAGCACGCACATAGGAAAGAAAACATAGGACCCTTAACCTCTGAGAGTTTGACTTGTTTTGCTTAACATAATGGTTTCTAGTTCCGTCTGTTTTCCTGCAAGTGACATAATTTTGTTTTTATTTATGGCTGAATAAAACTACATTATATATATCACATTTTCTTTTTATCCGTTGATGGGCATCTAGGCATCTTGGCCATTGTGAATTGTGCTGCTATAAACATGGATATACATGTATCACTGTTGTATGATGACTTTAATTCTTCAGGGTAAATAATGAGAAGTGGTATAGCTGGGTCATATGGTGGTCCTAACCTTTTGAGGAACCTTCATACTGATTTCCATAGTAGTTGTACTAATTTACAGTTCCACACTCCACATCTTCTTTAGCATTTGTTCTTATTTGTATTCTTAACGACTGCCATTCTGATTAGTCTGAAATGAAATCTCAGTGTAGTTTGGATTTGCATTTCCCTACTTGCTAATGATGTTGAACATTTTTTCATATATTTCTTAGACATTTGTATTTCTTCTTTTGAGAAGTATCTATTTAATTTGTTCACTCATTTATTAATAAGGTTACTTGATTTTTCTAGCATAAAGTTTTTTTTTGAGTTCTTTGTATATCCTAGATATTTATCCTCTGTCCAAAGAATAGCTAACAAAGATTTTCTCCCATTCTGTAGGCTCTCTCTTCACATTCCTAATTGTTTCCTTTGCTGTGCAGAAGCTTTTTAATTTGATGCCATCCCATCTTTTTGGCATTATTTCCTGAGCTTTAGGGTTCTTATTGAGAAAGTCGTTGCCTGTGCCTATGTACTGGAGTGTTGACCCTGTTTTTTCTAGCAGTTGTATAGTTTCTCATCTAAGTCCTAAGTCTTTGATCCATTTTGGATTGATTTTTGTGCTGGGCGAGAGATCAAGATCTATAGTTTCATTCTTCTACGTATGGATAACCAGTTTTTCCAGCACCATTTGTTTAAAAAGCTGTGTTTTCTCTAGTGTATTTTTCGGCACCATTGTCAAAGATCAGATGACTGTAGATGTATGGTTTTTGTCTCTGTGTCTTCTATTCTGTACCATTGTCTTTATGGCAATACCATGCAGTTTTTGTTACTATAGTCCTGTAGTATGATTTGAAGTCTGCTATTGTGATGCCTTCAGCATTGCTTTTTTGGCCCAGAATTGTTTTTCCTATTCTGGGTCTTTTAGTCTTCCAAATGAATTTTAGGACTATTTTTTTCTAGTTCTGTGAAGAATGTCATTGGTATTTTGATGGGAATTGCATTGAATCTATATTTGCTTTGGTAGTATGGCCATTATAACAATATTAATTCTGCCTATCCACAAACATGGGAGGTTTTTCCATCTTTTGAACTCTTCAATTTCTTTCTACAGTGTTCTATAGTTTTCATTGTAGAGGTCTTTCACCCCCTTGGTTAGATTTGTTCCTAGTCCCCCTATTTGGGGACTATTATGAATGGAATTATTTTCCTGATTTCCTTCTCAGAGATTCATTGTTGGTATATAAGGAAGCTATTGATTTTTGTATGTTGATTTTGTAACCTACTGTTTGCCATGTTTGTTTAGTAGCTCTAGCAGTCTTTTGTTAGAGTTCTTTGGATCTTCTAGGTATAGGATCATATCATGTGCAAAAGTGATAATTTGACTTTTTTTCTTTCTTCTTTTTTTTATTTTTTAATTTTTTAAATATTTTTTTAGTTGTAGATAGACACAATATCTTTATTTTATTTATTTATTTTTTGTATGTGGTGCTGAGGATTGAACCCAGTGCCTCACGCATGCAAGGCAAGTGCTGAACCACTGAGCTACAACCCCCGGCCCTTTATTTTTTTATTTTTTTATTTTTTTTATATTTATTTTTCAGTTTTAGGTGGACACAATATCTTTGTTTTATTTTTATGTGGTGCTGAGAATCAAACCCAGTGCCTCATGCATGCTAGGCAAGCATGCTACCACTTGAGCCACATCCCTAGCCCGTTTCCTCTTTTTATACCTCTTGTTTCCTTCTCATGCCTAATTGCATTGGCTAGAATTTCTAGCATTATATTAAAAAGGAATAGTGTGAGCAGACATTCTTTTCTTGTTCTATATTTTAAAGGAAATGCTTTCAGTTTTTCCCCATTTACTATAAGGTTTGCTTTGGGTTTTTTACATGTAGCCTTTATGATGTTGAAGTAGTTTCCTTTTATCCCTAGTTTCTTCAGTGTTTTTAATCATGAATGAGCACTGAATTTTGTCAGAGATCTTTTATGAATCTGTTGAAATAACAAGTGATCAACTTGGTCATGGTGTATAATCTTCTTACTATGTTGTTGAACACAGTTTGCTAATATCTGATTAAGTATTTTTGAATCTGAGTTAATTGGTCTAGGGGCTGGGGCTGTAGCTCATTAGTAGAGTGCCCGCCTTGCACGTGTGAGGCACTGGGTTCCATTCTCAGCACTACATAAAAATAAATAAAGATATCGTGTCTAACTACAACTAAAAATATATTTTTTTTAGAAAAAAAGGATTGGTCTGTAGTTTTCTTTCCTTGACATATCCTCATCTGGTTTTGATATGAGTATGATACTGGCTTCATAAAATGAATTTGGAAGTCTTCCATCCCTTTCTATTTTGTGGAATAACTTGAGGAGTATGGGCATTAGTTCTTTAAAGATTCGGTGGAATTCATCAAAGAATCCATCTCATCTTGGCTTTTCTTTGTTAGAAGTCTTTTTATTACTACTTGTATCTCATTACAAAATACTGGTCTATTTAGGTGTTCTATGTCTTCTTGATTCAGTTTTAGCAGATAGTATTTGTCTAGAAATGTCTTGTTTATTTTCTCAAAGAACCAACGCTTTGTTTCATTGATCCTTTGTATTGTTTTATGTTTTCAATTTCATTGATTTCAGCTCTGTTTTAATCATTACCTTCCTTCTACTGGTTTTGGAATTCATTTGTTGTTCTTTATCAAGGGCCTTGAGTTGCATCCTTAGGTTGATTATTTGGGATCTTTCTAATTTTCTTATGTAGACACTCATAGCTTTAAACTTTCCTCTTAAAACTGCCTTCGTAATGTCCCAGAGGTTCTGATATATTGTATCACTATTCTCATTCGAGGCTAAGAATTTTTTAATTTCTCCCTTGATATCTTCTATGACACATTCATCACTCAAAAGTGTGTTGTTCAATCTCACTGTGTTTATATAGTCTCTGTAAGGTATTTTCATGTTAATTTCTAATTTCATACCATTATGAGCTGATAAGATACAAGGAATTATATTAGTTTTTTGTATTTATTTCTTTGTGGCCTATAAATTCTGTTTTTATTTTCTTTTTATGTTTAATTTTCATAGGGAAAATGAGGTCCCCATATGTATAAAAAAGTAATATGTGTAAAAAGTAATATTTCCCAATTTCCTATGTCCCAGAAATAGTCGTTCTGTAAAGTTTGGTTTGTCTTCGATACGTACTTGAATCATTTTTAAATGGATTTAAATTTTTTGTGCAGTTTGATCGGGAGCACTTCAGTGAAGTTTTTGTGGACCTAAAGTGGTTTGAAAGCAAAGTTGGTAACAAGTACCTCAACGAAGCAGCAGGTGTTGCAGCAGAAGAAGCCAAGAACTATAAGGAAAAGAAAAAACCAAAGGTGTCCTTTTTTTTGTTAGGTGTTCTTTCACTTTTTTAGCTGTGAGATAAAACTGATACTCCTTATTTCTCATTTTCCTTCTATGATTTTGGAGTTGCCTCATTTCATTTTCATTTCTTCTTTCCTATAGGTAGTTAAAAGTTGTTTTGGTTTCTTTTCTCTACTAGATTCTCTCATTTAGATCTGATCCTTAACAGTAATTTATTTTTACCCTTGAAGAAGGACGTTGTTTTTTCTTCACTTTTTCATTCTATAAATAAGTGTGGAAAACATTTCTTAATATAAGAGTCTAGAAAATTACTTTTCTTTTAAAAATAATCATTTAAACCATGTTATTTGAAAACAAAAGACCAACATACTAATTGTTTTTGTAGTTGTTGTTGTTCTACTTGGTTGTACATGATAGCAGAATGCATTTCATTTCATCTTACACAAATGGAGCACGACATTTCAATTCTCATACATGTACCTAGGGCAATGATGTCCATCTCATTCCACCATCTTTGCAACATACTAGTTTTTAAATGTACACATTTATAGCATTTAATGTCATGAGACATCAACTAGATTGATTTTTTTAAATGATTTTTATATAAACTACATTAATAGGCTAGGTTAGGAGTAATTAGTGGTAAAATATCTTATAAACTGTTATTTGCTTAATAATTAAATGATAAAACTATTTAAAATATGCTAGTGTCCTGCATAACATCTCTAATAAATTCTAAAGAATGTCTTTGTGTTGTCTTGAAAACAAAACTTATGAAATTATCTTCAGCCTATCCATAGTTATGGGATCTTGATAAAGTTTCCTGCACTCACCTTAGTATACTGGTTCTGTGTAGTTTTACATCTAATATGTCTTGTTCCAGGAGGGGCAATTATTCTGTTTTTTCCTGGAATGGTCTTTCTAATTACTTAGCTCTTCCTTAGTGGAACTTGGTAATGGTCAGTCTTCATTCCATCTGTGCGTTTTTTCCTCCTAATAAAAAGCTTTGCGATGCTTTGCGAACCTGTGTGCACAGAACTAACATGTCAGTAATCCCTGATTTCCTTGCCTCAACTCATTCCTTAAACTTGACCATATTCTAGGCATATGTATGTGGCTAACGTTAGAGACACAGGCAGAAATAGCCTAAGCACATGAAATCAGTAGGGGCTATAAATTGGATGAAGAAAACGAAATGAAGATAAGGAAATGGGAAGAACTAATAATGGGAGTCATTGGCAGTTGACAGGCAATCCAAAAACAGAGGAGAGAAAGGATTGAGATCACAATGGATGAAAAACAGAAGCAGAATATGAAGGATGGATAGATGGAAGAGTTATAGAAAAACAAATGCATTGCATGGAAGAGAAAAAAAGAAGTGGAAGATAGAGTCGTAGAATGATAGGATTCAAGCTGGGTGCAGTGGCACACGCCTGTAATCCCAGTGGCTTGGGGGGCTGAGTCAAGAGGATCACAGCTTCAACAACTTAGAGAGCTATAAGCAACATAGTTCAAAATGCTGCCTCAAAATTTAAAAAGAACTGGGGGATGTGGCACAGGAATTAAGCAACCCTGGGTTCAATTCCTGGAACAATACCAAAAAACAAAAGAAAACAAAAAGGACAGGATTCAGAGATACAGAAAATAGATATTATAACCACTGAATTTAATTATAAAGGAATAGAATGTTAAAAGTAACATAAATTTTGGACACATAAAAATACTTACATTGATAAATGATACAAGGATTTGATGTTGATTGTATACTTTGTTCTAAGTAAACGAGATACTCTTTAAGTATATTCTTGGAATATGAATAATTTAAATTCATTCTTTTTTTGCGGGGGTGGGGGGTACATACCAGGGATTGAACTTGGGCACTCTGCCATTGAGCCACATCCCCAGCCCTATTTTGTATTTTATTTAGAGACAAGGTCTCACTGAGTTGCTTAGTGCCTCACTTTTTGCTAAGGCTGGCTTTGAACTCGTGATCCTCCTGCCTCAACCTCCCTAGTCACTGGGATTACAAGAGTGTACCACTGTACCTGGCAAGTGTATTCTTCTTTAACACTGATGAGAATCACTTTATCTATCTTTGAATGACCTGACTTCTAAGTTCTACGTGATAGAAATGTATAGCTTTAGGGCTGGGGATGTAGCTCAGTTGGTAGAGTGCTTCCCTAGCATATACAGGGCCCTAGGTTCTATCCCTAGAAATACACACACACACAGTTTTAGAAATTGATAACCAAAAACATTTATACATTACTTATTATTTTTAAGCTTTTACAGAGTTCTTTAAGAATTTTTAAAAATTTTTTAATTTGTTCTTTTTAGATATACATGACAATGAAGTATATTTTGACATATTATACATGCATGGAGTATAACTTGCAGTTCTTGTGGTCATACATGATGTTGAGTTACAGTGGTTGTGTATTCATATATGAACATAGGACAGTTATGTTCAATTCATTCTACTGACTTTTCTATTCCCATCCCCCTTCCCTTCCCTGCATTCTCCTTTGTCTAGTCCAGTGAACTTCTACTCTTCTCTTCCCACCCCTTATTGTGTGTTAGCATCTGCTTATCAGAGAGAAAACTTTGGTTTTGGGGGATTGGCTTATTTCACTTAGTATGATATTCTCTAGTTCCATCCATTTACCAGCAAATGCCATAATTTGATTCTTCCTTATGGCTGATTAATATTCCATTGAGTATATATACCATATTTTCTTTATCCATTCATCTGTTCAAGCACACCTAGGTTGGTTCCATAGCTTAACTATTGTGAATTGAGCTGTTTATAAACATTGATGTAGCTATGACACTGTAGTATGCTGATGTTAAGTCCTTTGGGTATATGCTGAGGAGTAGGATAACTGGGTCAAATAGTGGTTTCATTCCATGTTTTCTAAGGAATCTCCCTACTGCTTTCCAGAATGGTTGCACCAGTTGCAGTCCCACCAGCAATGTATGAGTGTACCTTTTCCCCATATCCTTACCAACATTTATTGTTACTTATATTTTTGACGTTCGCCATTCTGAGTGGAGTGAGATGAAATCTCAGTTTAGTTTTAATTTGCATTTCTCTAATTGCTACAGACGTTGAACATTTTTTCACATATTTGTTGACCAATCATATTTCTTTTTCTGTGAAGTGTCTTTTCAGTTCCTTTGGCCATTTACTGATTGAGTTATTTGGGTTTGTTGTTTTTTTTTTTTTTTGAGAGAGAGAGAGAGAGAATTTTTTTAATATTTATTTTTTAGTTTTTGGTGTACACAACATCTTTATTTTATTTGTATGTGGTACTGAGGATCGAACCCAGCGCTCTGCGCATGCCAGGCAAGCGCGCTACCGCTTGAGCCACATCTCCAGCCCGAGTTATTTGGTTTTTTGGTGTTAAGTTTTTTGGTTTTTTTTTTTTTTTTTTGAGTTCTTTCTGTATTCTCAAGATTAATGCTCTATTTGATGTGCAGATGGTAGAGAATTTTTCCTATTCTGTAGGCTCTCTCTTCACGTTCTTGATTGTTTCCTTTAAGGATAATTTCAATTAGTTTTAGCATTTTTTAAATATCCCCTTGAAATATATCTTACCATTTATTTTATGATGATTTATAATTTTTATAGGGCCAGGAAAATTCTGTATGTTGGGCTGCTTTAGACAAAAATGAAAGTGCAGTGGTAGCTTCTAAGGGTAAGTACAAACTATATAGTATTACTTTTTATGTGTTATTACCTTGACAGAATAGTTATAATTTGATATATCAATACTAATTTAGTAATATTGAATTGGACAAATTGCTATGATAACATAAGAATCAACTTTGATATGCATTTATCAGAGCATTAGAAGAAAAACAGAATATTCATAACTGTCAGTCACTATCTTTCTTTTTTTCCCCTAGATAACTTAGAAGATGAGACTGAAGATGATGATCTATTTGAAACTGAGTTTAGACAATATAAAAGAACATATTACATGACAAAGATGGGGGTTGATGTAGTCTCTGAGTACGTTTTTGCCAATCCTTTTACTTTAAAGTAAAAATAAAAATTAGATTTTGCAGTTCTTCAGAAAACAGCACAATTCTGACAAAGTAGTAGAAGAGAAGGATTTTTTGGTTTCATAAATTATTGTAGATTTTAACTAGTAGGATATGGTTTTGGAGAAGGTGATATTAATTCTGACTTGTATTATAATTAAAATAGAGAAATTGTGCTTAAACACAGAAAGCTTATTACAAAGTTACTTAAAATAGTAAAAAATTAATCTAATGTCCAATAAGAAGGTTCCCAGTAATCAGCCTCTGCATCATCATCATCACAGTCACCATCCCTCTCATCTCCACATCTTCAGAATCTGTGTAGCTGCTAAACTATACTTGAAGAAATTTCATAATAATTTGGAAAGATACTTAAATTTTAAAACAGAACACAAAATCATACATGTAGCTCATACTCATTAACACTTTTTAAAAAATCAACGTAGGAATAGAAAAGACTGATGCTGGTGTCGTGGTACACACCTATTGTCCTACATACTTAGAAGGCTGTAGTGGGAGGATGACTTGAGGCCCGGAGTTCAAGACCAGTCTGGGCAACATGGCTAGACACCATCTTAAAATAAAGAGAGACTGAAAAAGAGGGCTGGAGTTTTGGCTCAGCAGTAGAGTACTCGTCTAGCACGTGCGAGGCCCTGGGTTCAATCCTCAGCACCACATAAAAATAAATAAATAAAATAAAGGTATTGTGTCTAACTACACCTAAAAAATAAATACTAAAAAAAAAAAGACTGAAAAGAAACATACCAAAATGTATAGTGATTGCTGTAAGGGAATGAAAATGCTTGTTTTTATTCCTAGGGAAATATTTGTTTTATAATAACAAAGTAATAATTTCATGTATAAAAGCATACCTCCCAGAAATATGGAGACTTGGAATTTCTTAAGCAACTACTTTGGGCTTTAGACTAGTGCCTGTCTTGTATTCAAAGATTGATTTTACCCAAACCTTAAATGATAGCATTTGGTTTTTGAGAGAAGAAATTAGAAGAGAATCTTGCTCAGCAGCTGTAGCACTTTTCAAAGGGTATTTTAGCTGCTATAACCAGGCTTTTCAAGAACTTTCTGATGTGCCCATCTCATCCCCACTATTTAAGAGAGCAACAGTACTGCTTGATAAAATATTTCATTAGCTAAGTCTTTAAATTTTAGACCAAATGTGTCATAGATTTACTAGTCAAATATGCATAGCAGGCTTGATAGTTGGTGTAGGTAAACTATGAAGCAAACCTTTCATGTGAAAGGTGGAATTTTTTAATATCTTAGAGTTTTTCTGATTGTTATTTTTTAATAGTATATAATTTGTAGTTAATTCATTGACTTAATAAGCCATGTGAGGTAAAATGTATGAGGAAATATGCTCTAGAGACACTGGCCTATTTAAAAAAAAAAAAAATAATGTAATGAAAATATTCCTTTCTATTTTCAGTGATTTTCTGGCTGATCAAGCTGCATGTTATGTTCAGGCAATACAGTGGATTTTGCACTATTACTATCACGGTGTTCAGTCCTGGAGCTGGTAAGAGCATATCTTTTTTAAAATGTTTTTTTCTGTAAGAATCTCATTTAGACATTTCTTCTTCGTCTTTTTTTTTTTTTTTTTGTGTGTGTGTGTGTGTGTGTGTTTTGCTGGGGATTGAACCCAGGGCCTTGTGCATGTTAGGCAAGCACTCTCCCAACTGAACTATATCTTCTGCCCAGGTAATCTTTTCTTAAATGAAAATACTTGAAAAAGATGCTTCTAGCCCTAGCAGATGATAAAAGGTCTTTATTAATCTAAGGATGTAAAATTCTCTATTTAGCTAAATCAGAGCTGAAGATGTAATTTGGTTGTAGCTCATTTGTCTAGCATGCAAGAAGTCCTGGTTTGAGTCCCAGCATCACCCCCCCCCCCAAAAAAAAAAAGAGAGAGAGAGAGAGAAAAGAGATGAATCAAGTATGACTTAAGTTTAGATAACTATCAGATCTGGGTGATAGTTACATGGGAGTATTCATTGTATTCTCTAAATTTTTGTGTGTTTAAAATTTTTTTCAAATAGTAATAATTTTTTGAAGACTAGACTAGTTGTATGTTAGGCTGGAAAAATAAAGGAGAAAGGAATTATTTGTTTTTACTGGAAATAGTAATAATTTGCCACTTCTCTTCCCTGTTCCAGCAAATTTTATTCAAAACCATCCACCAAAATAGAAAAGTAACAGACCAAAAGACGATCAGTGAAAAGTGAAGACTTAGGTGATAACATAGCTCTGCTTTGTTTTTTTAAGAGGACTCACATAAGTTGTTTCTATTGTTTTCATGCATTAAGACCAGACACTTGAGAAGCATGTTCTCATCTAATCTTCACAACTAAAGTAGACATTGTTTTCCCCCATTACAGATGAAGAAATAAAGCCTCAAAAAGTTTAATCTTCCCAAAACCTTACATCCCAGAACCAAGTCCAAGTGTGTCTGATTCCAGAGTCTGTTTGTTTTACATTATTTCTCCTAACTTTTTCCATTGCTTTGAAATGTATGCCACAATTAGAAAATATAAACACATACACAACACACACACACACACACACCTGAGTCAAACACCTAGAGCATATCGAAAAATTTTTAAGTGTGTATGTTCAAAGCTTTGTAAAAATACATAGTTAAAGATGGAATGGTGGGGCTGGGATTGTGGCTCGATGTGTGAAACACTGGATTCGATCCTCAGCACCACATAAAAATAAATAAATAGCTGGGTGCAGTGGGGCACGCCTGTAATCCCAGGGGTTTGGGAGGCTGAGACAGGAGGATCACAAGTTCAAAGCCAGCCTCAGCAAAAGCAAGGCGCTAAGCAACTTTGTGAGACCCTGTCTCTAAATAAAATACAAAAAAAAATGCCTGGGGGTGTGGCTCAGTGGCCAATTACTATTGAGTTCAATCCCCAGTACCATCAATAAATAAATAAATAAATAAATAGTGTCATCTATAGCTTAAAAAAAAGGATGGAATGATTTAAAATATAAAGTTAAACATGAATGATATAAAATAAAATTAGTATGTAATTAATGCATGTTTTAATCTCTATTATAAATATAATAATATGAATATGAATTCAAATAAAAAAGTTCTTAGAGTTGACCATTAAGGGCCACATTAGCTTAGACTCACTATTCCTCCCTCTGTCCTTATGGACTAATTAAAGCTTTTATCAGAACCTTCAGCTGCTCCCAGAACCTTGCTTGAAGGTCCCAGGGCCAACTGACAAGACTGAAGATCCTCTGAGTACCTCATTACTGTTCAGCGTATGGACTGGAAGATTCATGATGAGCATTTTGTGAATTCAAAAAAGTATTACAAATTCATGATCAGCGGCATGCACCTGTAGTGCCAACACTAAGGAAGTTGAGGCAGGAGGATCACTTGAGACCCCATCTCAAAAACAGAACAAAAACAGCATTACATTATATGCATTCTTCAATTACCTGATTTTTAGAAGTCTGAAACTGCACTTGAAAATTAATGAATATAATACTTTTTGCCATTATGCCATCCACATTTTCTAACTGTGCCGATTTCTTATATTTGGGTGGTAGAATTGTGGGTGATACTTAATTTTTCTTGAAATTTATTGTTATGTGGTGTTAAACTATAGAAGAAATATATATATATATATATATATGTATATATATATATATATATACACACACACACACATACATTTTTATATATATATATATATATATATATATATATATATATATATATAAAAATTATTG